TATGTTTCTGCCGGTGGGTGCTCAACCCCCGATAATATTTTTATTATGTTCTCTCAACATAATTTATCTCTGTTTATGTTACTTAACTTTTGTCAAATTAACATGATTTTTTTGTTGTTTTTATGCTTTTTGTGCCACATACCTCCTGTTGATTTAACATGATTTTTGTTTAAATAAAAGCTTTATCCACTATAGGCAGTGGTGTTTTAATAAATTAAATAGAACTATGATAAAATGTACGATAAATCCAGATAAAATTAATAACAGAATAAAAAAAGCTTTGGTAAACTATAAGTACTACTTTTTAAATAAATAAAAGCATTTTAGCACCCTAATATTGTAGATTTTTAAGTAAGGCAATAAGCAAAAACATTTCTTGGAAAGAAATACTGTATTTTTTCAATAGTACACAACAATCCACACAGATTACAAATATACAGGAGACATGTTACAGACATAGCTCATTTGTTTGAAATGCATCTGTTAAAATATAATATAACCCCATTTAAAAGCAAAATCCAAAACTCAAAATCTAACACTTCATTCCCCTCAACCCACGCCCCCCAAAAAATTGCTCAACGTAATACAATGTTACACAATAAGAACAATAACAGCAGAACTAATGTAATAAAAAAATGTATTTCTAATTTTTTTTTAAGAAGGACTTTGAAAGTGTGCTGATTTTAAAGCTCCACCATTATACACCTCAAAGCAATACTTCAAGGGATCATTCACCCAAAAATGAAAATGCTGGTATCATTTACTCAGCCTCAAGTTGTTCCAAACCTGTTTACATTTCTTAGTTCTGCTGAACACAAAGGAAGGTGTTTTGCAGGATGTTTGAGGCCAGACAGCTTTGGGGCACCACTGATTGCCATAGTAGGAAAAAAAATACTATGGAAGTCAATGCTGCCCCAAAACTGTTCGGTTATAAGCATTCTTCAAAACACCTTCCTTTGTGTTCAGCAGAACTAAGAAATGTAAACAGGTTTGGAACAACTTGAGGGTGAGTAAATGATACCAGAATTTTCATTTTTGGGTGAACTATCCCTTTCATCAGTTAAGTGGGCAGTTGAATTGTGCAGTAGCTAATGCCCAGTTATCCAAATAACTGTAAGATTATCTGGCCCTCGTTGACGATCCTGATGTCCCCTGGTCTATCATGGGCATTGTCTCCTCAATGCATTCTGGGATGAGGGCTTCATCTGCAGCCTGGAGAATGCACAGTTAAAAAATTAGATTCAGTACTACTCTGGAAATATCAAACTTAATTTCAATAATGTAGTAACATCTATATCCTGAGAAATGTAAACTTGAATATAATAAGAACCTGTCATGGTCAACAAAGACTGATTACAGAATACTGTTAGACCTCAGTTCTAGGATTGCGAATGGTAGGCCAAGAAATCCAATAGTGTCTTCCTAGAACAAACTGTAAAATTATATAGCACACTTTGAACACGTACATGGATAATGGCAGAAATGTCCAAAGTGTGGATGTCTTGGATGTTTCGGTAACTCCAATCTAACTGCAACTGCTACTGTGCACCCTTAATACACTGACACATTCAATGGACAGGGAGAGAGAAAAATAATAGATTCATATTAACATTTGCAACATCGTCAGACAAAGAGATTTTAAAAGTAGCAAACATCTACAGATCAACTAAACATACAGATTACAGTATAGTTTCATAAATACCATTAATGTAGAGGCTTTGGACTGACAGTGAAGTGGATGTCAATAAATGCACTTGTCTGGTGAAATATCAGATATCTGTAAAATATCAAAAGTATGCATCAGTTTTAAAACAGTTAATTATAATTAAGACTTTTGGATTATGCTCATCAAATGATATTAAGACGCATATCATTCAAAGCAGTCATCAGAGATGTACACATGCGAATGCAACCTCTTAAAAAAAAAGTCAAAGTTTTAAATAATACTCACCTCTACCAAACAGCATTAAAAAAAAGAGAGAATAAGGGGTCTTCACAGGACAGAAGGCATATAAAATGTTAATTTTCTTTAAAACAACAATCATTGTACTGGATTTTTAATAATAAAACTGATTATTGATTATGCTCATTCGTTTAAGCAATAGTTCTCTTTCAAAATGTTTGATTTTTCAAAAGCCTGATATCATGTTTTTATGTGTATAGAGAATGTGAAGCTGACGTCACGCCATGTTGAGTTCTGGGAAACTGCTTTGTTTACATTTACATTTAGCAGACGCTTTTAAAGCAAGCGACTTACAAATGAGGACAATAAAAGCAGTCAAAACTAACAAAAGAGCAACAATATATAAGTGCAAATGACAAGTCTCGGTTAGCCTAACGCAGTACACGTAGCAAGGTGTATACATATATATATATATGTATATACATATATATTATACACACACACACACACACACACACACACAAACAAAGAAAAACAAGTGATCCTCTCAGTATGGTTTATCCGCCATACTGAGAGGATCGCGCTGCCTCTCCGCTATTGAGTTTAGGGCAGTATTTAGATTTTCTGTCGTGATTGTGGAAAATGTCATCATTGTTTGTCATTCATGCTGCATCGAGATTTGCAAAAGTAACTCCAATCATCGTTCTGAGGGAAAATTGGACAATGCAGTGTATTTTTCGCCTTTTCTATTTCTATATATAACTTTCAGGTTAGATCAGCTCCTCCCTTAAACAGCGGCACACAGAGAACAGCCAAAACGAAACTGAATGTGTAACTCTACATTATGGAAATACAAGTAAAAATGTTTTTGGTATAGCTGCCCATTGACACCCTCTCCAGCTGCTGTGCTGATTCTCATCCATGTGAGTACTTTACATTTTGACACCATGTACTGATAATGATTCATGCCATCTGACCGATTCTTTACAATTGTAGTTGATAATCAAAAGTAGTGTTAATACTGTGCTAGGTTGTATTAAATTATGCAATTTGATCAGATATAGATATTCCACCGTTATTATTTATTTTTGTAATTTTAATGTAGTATATGAGAAACTTTTACATTAAAAATGGCAGTCTACATTAGATCATGAAAGTAAAGAGTTATTATGTTCTTCTGTGCATATGTATTTTTAGTCTTCGAAAATCCTGCAGCCATTCTACTGTCGCACCACACAAACAATATCTATGGGCCCTTTATCTATGACTTGGATATTGTTTGTGGTTTGACACTGTATTGTTGGATTGTTGTGTTTTGCACTGTGCCTGAGATATATATTGCATTGGTTTTACAACAAGTTTGCCAGCCCATTTGTGGAATGCACAAGAATCAAGAGCATGGCAAATATGCTTTAACCACAGTTGCTGTAGCAATGCCAAGCTCCTCAGGTGAAAAAGTGCACTTCCATAATGTACTTAAAGGCAAGTTTATTTAAATAGCACATTTCATACACAATGGTAATTAAAAGTGCTTTACATAAAAGGAAGTAAAATAATTATAAAAAAAAAACAATCAAGGAATTTCACACAAACAAAGAAAAACAAGTGATCCTCTCAGTATGGTTTATCCGCCATACTGAGAGGATCGCGCTGCCTCTCCGCTATTGAGTTTAGGGCAGTATTTAGATTTTCTGTCGTGATTGTGGAAAATGTCATCATTGTTTGTCATTCATGCTGCATCGAGATTTGCAAAAGTAACTCCAAT